GTAACGTTGAATGTCTGTTTTAGATAATATTATTTTAGTAGCTGAATAAGAAATACAAATACATATGAACAGTATGGTGAAGTTTGTAGAAAATTCTAGAAATCATGTAGAAGTTTGCCGAATGCATATAAATGAACCGGAAAAGAAATTCCTATGACTTTTGTGTAATAGGGAAGTCAAATCATGGGTTAACGTGTGAGAAAATATTAAATGCAAACCGCGTAGCAAGCATTAGTTAAAATAGAAATCAGTAATCGGACTTAGATTCAGAAGGTGTAGATAATGTAGTCATTTTGTAGAAGGCCAATGCGGAAGATTTATCATTTAGTGTCAAGTAACATATTACATAGAGTAATCCGACGAAGTGTCTAGTTAAGATCTAAATGGTTTATATATATTCGATATGCTTTTCCACTGTATGTTGCTTCATGAGGCGTAAATATACATAGTAGTATACATATACTACAAATTAACCTGAATCATAGAATACTCTATGTTATGTAACTAAGAAACGTCAGCAGACATGATAAACTTAATATAAAATCATCGATTGCAATTCTGAAATTCTTCTGGGTTCTTTTCATATTTGTTTGGTAAAGATTTGAAGTAGTCAGCTGTTTGACACGATATAAATCCAATGAAATTTCAATCGAATATGAGGCATTAATTGAAAATTTCTTGGATTTGCTAAGAATTACAGACTGAATCGGTAGAGGTCCAAAAACGAATCAAGCCAAAGACGTTACATCGCCTGAGCGAACAACTGAAAGGAAATTTAAAACTGCAGAAACAGTCTAGTCAAAACTCACTGTACAATCCTGGCATTCTTGTTTTCTGTTTGACCATGGAACTTGGCAATCGGAAATAACGTAGGCAGTGGTCGTGTAAGAAGAGATTGTAGGTGAAGAAGTAGGAAGATGAATTCAAAGTCAATAGTTATTTGTGGCTTAAATTAATTACATACTTTATCGGCATATGTGACAATATTAATTTTAAGTAATAATTGTGTTTTTCTAACATATGTATCACCCACTAACTGAACAATACTGAACACAATTACCAGTAAAATTGATTTATTACTGCTTATAATAATGATAATCTGAAAAACTCTAGTAGTATGAATCAATTATATCAATAATCATTTTTCAACACTCAGTACAAAAAACATTTAAAAAGGTTAACTGAAATTAAACCATTTCAATTTAAGAAGCGAAAGAAAAGATTTGAATTTCAAATATAAGAATTGGTACATATAACGTTTACTTTTATGTGACTAGTAACATAATCAAATGATTTTTATTTCTCTATAACTGATTCAGTATTCGACTAAAACCAATCACTACTTTACAGAAGTGAAGTGTTAGATATTATTCACACCTCTATACAGCTGAATAATAATGTCAAGAAAATGTACTTACCAATATGTCCAATGTAAATACAACTAGAGAGCATTGTAAATTTATCATATTCACAGTATATAAATGCTATTATGCATATATATTTACCTTTAAATTAAAATAAAAAAAATCAATTATTCATTTCTTTTTGTTTCATTACTTGTACTAATTTGTTATAACCTTAAATAATTATTCTATTGTTAGAAAACTATGACTTTTGTTTAATTAAGTCGTCACATGACCGATTTTTTAACACCAATGAATGAATGAATATATGAATGAATAATAATTGTATATGCAGATAATATGGATATATTTCTATGTGTTAGGATTTATAATTTAATAGAATATAAGTTTTTTTCTATAATTCAGGTGTTTTTTTATTCAATAAGTTTGGTCAGCTTGATCAGTCACATGAAAAATTGCTTTTGATTAATATCATTCATTGTTTAGTTTATTTTCGAAAGAATACTATCCGTAGTTTTAAAATAAAACAACTTTCCATTGTTATTTATTAAGTACACAGAGAACTACAATATTAATTGATTTATAAGTTGGAGTATTTGGTCATGATCCAAGATCAGAAGAAAAGTATTGAGTGATCAGAGAGTTAAGTTATTCACATGTCAAATGAAAATGCATAAGAGTGTCAAACTTAGACTAATGTCAACATAAAATTTATTTTTAATTATACTGTTTAAATAATGTCAGATGACGATAGTAGAAAGTAATAGGACCAAATGTTTTGTTCTATTTAAATGAATTCAACACGATTTCATGTTTTATTCTATGCCAAAACCTAACTTGAATGGACAGCGTTATTTTCTAAACAAAAAATGTTCTTTTTATTATCCATTCCATGATAATCTTTGAGGAGGAGATTGTTTCAAAATAAGGAAATACTTTATACAATTGGTGATTTTAAAAATGAAAGTATATTGTTTTGAAAATTCATCGCACTTCCTAACGATGAAACAGTTTATTTCTTCTACATAAGTAACATTTGATTCTGTAAACAGTTTATTGAACTAAAATATAAAAACATGATGGAAACACTATTTGATGAATTGAAATTCATTAACTTTTATTCTAAACAAAATTCTAATTATCAATTATTTTATTTACATTCTCTTAAAATGTACCGTAGTCATGGGACTCCCATTTCGTCCAAAAAAGATCAGATGATACTTAATAACACGTAATACATACTCCATAAAAGAACCTATTTAGTTTTAGCAATTTCCAGAATATTGTTTAAAAAAATAACAGAGACTTTAAGAAACCATGTAAATGATGTTTGAATAACCAAATAATGAACTATAGTCTGTCAACATGATAAGGTTAGGCCAGTTTGTGTCATAATATAAGAGAATATAATTAGTAGTCTACCACTGAGTAATTTCCACTGTCATGCTATCTAGTCTTTAACACCGATGGAATTATATAAACTAAGTTCATTAGGTCAACTCTAAAAGTTATTGAGCTACTTCAGTCGAGGTACTCGAAATAATATTGGGAGTTACAACAAGATTCAGAAAAATAATTCCTGAAATCAGGAATGTATTTTTAAACAGTAATGTATTCATGGATTTAAGTAATACCTGAATATAAATAATCAAAATGATTTGAATTGTACTATTCATAGTAGCTGGTATGGTTAGTAGGTTAGAAGTAGTCCATTGAAGTAATTCTAAGATATGATGCAAGGTCTGAATTTTGATTAATATATCTGACTTTCTCAAATCTATTGTAAGTTATGGTCTTACTTATCACTCTGGTTAGCGTCAATAGTTTCTGCGGTTGGCTGAACGAATCCTTGAATAAATATGTTTTTCGATTAAATGACATTCAGGACTTTTGAAAAATGTCAGTAAGAATTTATCAACAGTACTTAAAACTTCAGTGTATTACCCATGAAACTTCATTTAACGGCATTCAAATAAAAAGTAAAATTTAATCATTACGTTACTCAGAAACTTTTCAATTAGAAATAATGAATTGTATGTATGTGCTGTTTAACCGATGTAACAATATCTCGCTCAACAGGAATAATTATTGGCTAATTCATTTTGAAATTTGTGTGCGATTTTATTCAATTCAGATTTTCTTATTATGACCGGTTATAACATTTCAAACAACTTTTTCAACTTCATCGAATTTCATTTTAAATTAATATTTGGAGGTTCAATATATAAATGAATGAAAATATTTTCTAAATCAATACAATGTATTGGTAAAAATATCGCACATTTAAAAGTATTTATATTTTATTTGGTCTTAAGAGAAACTAATTAACTATTGAATTATTTAACAAATAATTTATGGGTTTTGTAAATTAGCTTAAAATAACAAACCAGTGAAAATTCAATTATACAAGAAAATGGATCTCACAATCCTAGTAGTATGGGGTATATTTCTGGTTTATTTCACCCACGCACTTGACGACTTCAGCTACCGCAAGAACGACAGTACTATTGAAGTCAGTAACCTAGATTATCAGCTCACGGATGCAGATCTAACTGATAAGTTTTGAATTCGGTGAAATGTTTATCCTGGTTTCCACTGCTAGATACCATCTATCACTGCTTAAAATGCTAGATTGTAATAGTTGTCATTCTGGTGTTCCACTTTGCTTTCGATATATTCTAAGTGTATGAAACAAGTCTACTAATATTAACTATCGAATTTTATCTGTTCCGTTGTGTTCATCATACAATACGAAGTCGACTCTAACAAATCTAATGGTGTCTAAACCATCTACTATATGTTTGAACTATGTGCTTAATAAGCAGAACAACCTGTAAACTAACTATGTCTCTTCAGAGTAACAGTACGACTTCATTTAAAATAAGGCGAAAGGGGCATGTTATATTTACAATAATCATCATCATTCTATTGTTTCTCCAACATCAACCTAAACTTGTTTATTGCATCATCTTCAAATGATTGGTCAATTCGAAATCTCAGTTTGTATGTATATATGTATATACGTAGGTTTGTGTGTGTGTGTGTGTGTAAATTTGATCTCAAGCAATACCAAATGACTAAAATAATAGTGTTACTATTATTATTATTATTATTATTATTATTATTATTATCATCATCAGTACTGTTGTTATTCTTTTATCTCAATGGTAAATCAATTATTATAAAGTAATTTTTTTTTAATTTGTTAAATAAATGTGTCATGAGTAGAAAAAGAACAGAATCAAATGAATAAAAGTACATTTTGTAGAAAAGTTTACAATTGGTGAATAAGGAATATTTTTTTTCTTTCTCTATATATATACAAGTATTCAATTTGTGTACTTTCTTCACATTCATTTATTTATTGTTTTAATCTGATTTGAGAATACGCAATAAATATATATCGATAATGATTGCCAGTTCAGATAACAAGTATGAGATAATTTAATTTTATGAGAAATAATCATCACAATAATATTTCTGTTTATCTTATATATATATTCATATTTTTTAAAAAAGGAAAGAATAAAATAATTGAAACAGCTCAAATTTAAATCTTTACATTGGAATACACAATTTTATTTTGATTATTGTTGAATAAGTTTTTCTTTTAATTCAAAAAAACAATCGCTCAGAATGCTAGTAAATTTTCATTTGAATTCTAATGAAAAGAATAAAGAACTTGTTTTAAAGAAAATTACACAAGAAAATATCAATGATATTTCTATTAAAAATTCTTCTTTATCATCTTCCACTTCAACATCATCATCATCATCATCATCAGCGTCAACATCATCAAAAACCTCAACACCAACACTTAATCCATCAGCTTTGAAACATGATGAGAATAAAACACCGGAGGAAAATACCAAGTTAAATGTTTCAACTAAACTAACCGTTCGAAATATTCTTGCAACAAATCCTCGAATACCGGTATATTATTTAAGTCGTGGAAATAATTCACAATTGTAAGTGTAAAATATTTTAGCTGATTGTAGTATTTTATTTTCTCTTTTAAACATTTCATTTTGTTATAAAAACTAGAACAGAATAAAACAAAAAGAATGATATTTGAATATTAAGTATAATGAGTAGTAAGTCAACTTGAAACTTGTTCCTCAGCCTTGTTTCTAGTAGGTTATAATCAAGAGGAATGTAGTCTGTGGTTAATAATTTGTAATTTCTAAAGTCAGAAATAGTCATTTCTCTAAACAGTAAAACATTGTGCGTAAAAGTATCAAGTTATCATAGTTTACTTTGATCTGCTATGATGAAAAGATATCTTGTTATATTGAATCTAATAAGGATGTGCTTGAACAAATCATTGATAATGTAAATATTTGAATTACATGAAAATGTATTCTGACTGATCGTGACTTAGTTTACCAATTGATATAAAGTATAAAACCTAATAAAAGAAAGTTAGTGATGATAAATAATTTAGAAAATCAATTTCTATACAATCCAAATATAACATTTCTATTCAAGCAATAAATTCGAAATGATAGTATACTGCAAATAGGCAAAGTTAACTAATATCCACCTGTCATGATGACTATAAATAATGAATAATCGGCTGATCTGTCATATTTGATTTTGACAAAGAACCGGTAACATTTGGTTATAAGACTTCTATTAAGCATTTTTTCTGTATAAATAATTACTTCTATTACTTACTATCTATTAATATATACCTAGTCGATGGGATGATCGCTCTGTTCTTGACATCTAACTCATTGAAAATTCAGGTTTAGTTTGTAAAGCAAATTACTTCAAACATTTCCCTGTTTCTTTAAATTAATCATTTACTCATCATACACTAATGAGCAGGAAACAATTCACTGGTGTATTCTATGCATATGTTTTTTGTAAATATACTTGTTAAATTGTTTTATTCATGAAGCTTCATGTAATGACATATCGGTTCCACATCTAACTGATCCAGGATTGTAAGTAATTGTAGCACAGTTTAGAGAAATAAGAATGTATAATGATTGTTTAAGTGTCAATAAATAAAGTTGTAGATTTCTGTGAAATGTATATTTGTATTTTTACTACAATAATTCCATATATTAACTTTTAATTTAAACTACTTCATACTTTATTGGTTTCAAGTGGAAAAAAAGTGTTCTGAATAAAATTTACATATTATCTTTTTCAATTGATTTAATTGATTGAACTAAATAAACACTGTCAGTGATTTTACAGTTTATATATGAAATTTAAGAATAAAATCTATGTAAGAGAAACACATATCAATCGATCATTGATTAGGAAAAATGAAACAATAGGCAAATATCTAAGCTTTAGTTTATTATTATTATTATTATTATCATTTTCAATTGTAAAATCCTCGAAACAATTCTCAAACATTATTTTGCATGAACACGATGCTATAGAACTCTCTTCTCAACGATAACTGTTTTCAAGAAAATACTAATTATTACTTGTGAAATAATTTAAAATTGTGATTAAACTAGAAAGAAAGATACAGTCATATTGAAGATTCCCATTGTGAAAATTACAGCAGCACATATAAGCGAACAGTATTGTTTTCGATTAGATCGTCATCAGGCTTTATTCTAATATACTTGAATATTTATATGAAAATGTTAAGCGAATCAACGCAATTTGAGTAAAGCCTGATGAGGATCTAATCGAAAACAATATTGTTTGCTTGTATGTGTTGTTCTAACTGTCATATTCGTATATTACTAAATGTATTTCTAAAAGAATATATATATATATATATATATATATATATATATAAACAACTCTTAATGACATAGATTCAAGACAGTACAATGTCTTTTTCAAGCGATACAGATAAATAAATGGTTACCAATATAGAAAAAAAAGTATACAAATAAAATTTTATTCTATTGTAATTTCATTTCCTATTGAAATTTTATTATCCAAAGTAAATCGAATAATATGGATAAAGTAAGTAAATATTTAATTAATTAATTAATTAATCGATACTAAATTAATAATCACATCCAGTTAAAAATAACACAATTAAATGATTGATGTTTTAAATAACCAATTGATTGTATTCATTTTCAATCCGAATAAGTGAATGAATCAATTTGTTTCTCGCTGTTGATTTAAGATTTATTTAGAGGATGTAGACTGTGCTTCCTTTATCAGACACTTTTATATAAAACATCAATAGATTAGTACAAGTTTACATTGTAATAAGAACTGAAGTTCATACACGCACACACACATACACAACAAAAATTTAAAAAATTATAATTATACTTATAGATGGACACAAAAATAAGTGGAAAATTGGCAAAGCTCCAAATTGTAGGTAAATCTTTTTGAATCAGTCAAATCGACCTTTGTTTGTAAAACTTTTAATCATCTCTCTTAAAGATAAACATTAGCTTTAGATAAATTTATATATTTAAAACTCAGTCCGCAAATAACAAAGCGGTTTGTTTTTTAAATAAAACCATTTATATGAATAGATTTCCCCTAAATCTCTGTTATTTACAAACGCCTTTGTATTCTTGTCAACTGTTGTATTAAGCTAACCTTTCTCTTTATGATTGATTTACCTAGTCAACTTATTGTTTAGAACTACTACTCTTTGTAAATCACATGTCAAACATTCTGTTAATCAATTCACGAATATTTCTGAATTTAGTTCTGTAATAATCTCGAGTGTGTTGTCTAAAGTACAATTAAATTTGTAGTTTGATTAGCAATAAGATCTTTAGCCTTTAGATTTATTTCGATCAAAGCAAAATTTTGATTTTTTTTTGTATATCTTAAGACTGTATAATTAATCATCTTCAATATTGAATAAATTACAATTTGAACGAATTCACTAGTCATTTTAAAGAGGTGTATAGTTGATTAATTTACCGAAAGTGCGATTGTCATTCTTTTTCTATTCATTAAATTAGACTTATAAAACATTTTAATTCAAGAACTATTTACAGTGAGCGTTTAATCTTTTAACTAAACAACAATTTTAATTCAAAGTGAATAAAACTCTTACTAGTCGAACAATTTACACATATCTTCTGGCCTAAGTAAATAGGGCGTGTGATTAGTTGCTTAGATACTGTTAGTTAAATGTGTAGTACAACATGGATCGAATTCAATTTTAATTCTATTACGAAGGGGATTTAAAGTTTTAAGCTATTCGATTTGTAAAATACCATTGCTTGAGTCTGATAAAATATTGACATAATTAAGGTACAGATGAAATGATGAGTTAATCTGTAATAAGAGTTCAGTTGCTGTTTGAAAATGAAGGATATAAAAAGTAATAGTGAAATAATCGCCTTTTTAAGTATCATTAAATATAATAAACGGTGATAAATTTATCTTAATCGTAAATTCGGTACTACTTGCAAACTTATATCTTTGAATTTGCAAAAGATCATCTTATGTATTGATAATGATTTTGATTCCGTATTCTTAGTTTTCATTGTTATGAATAGTATGTAGGTTGATTTTCGTTAAACCTAACAAAATTGATCACTTAAGTGATCCCATTTTTGTTTCGCAACATTCACAGAAGCAACTGACATCACATGCACTGAACCGTTAGCGTCACCATTTTTTGAAATCTTTTGAAATGACTTTCTTCATGAATAATTCTAGAGGATTAAAATGATGCAATATTATAACTAATTAAGATATAAAACAGTAACAGCTCCCGACATGATAAATTAAACGTTGTCATAATATTCAATGAGTATTAACTACATCTTCTTTGCTCTTACCTTAATAATCAACCCGTCGATTAAGTGAATTTCACATGACAGTTTGTTTAACTTTCTGAATCAATGTTTAAGTTAATACTTATTGGTTAGCCTTATTATTGTTATTAAATCGATCAAAAAAGTCTTAGTAGTTCAATGGTTTGTCATCTGCTAGATAAACGTGCATAAAGTTGGCATAACCAATCTATTTAAAGGGATTATTTTATAGTTTAACTTGACCTTAGTAAAGTTCGTTACTGCCATGTCAGTTAGAAGGCTTATGCATTTTGTATTTAAAAAGACCCACTGGCTAACTATTGATCATATTGTATTACAATAAAAAAAACTAAGTATTCCAAAGCAATCCAGCCAAAATAATTATAAAGGCTCTGTTAAAATTTTAATTTAAAAAATTCATTTACATTCCAAACAATTTCATCTTACATTACGGGGTTGTGAAGATTGTTAAGTTACACATTTTTGAAACCATGAACCGATCAATGTTAGACCACCATTAGAAACCTGGAAGCACTGGACGGCCGTTTCGTCCTGGTATGGGACTCCTCAGCAGTGCGCATCCACGACTCCTGCACCTCGCAGGATTCGAACCCAGGACCTTCGGTGTAGTGCGCGAACGCCCTAACCGATAGACCACTGAGCCGGTATCTAACGGTGTTAATGTCTAACTTGATCAAATTCACGGAGTTGCGCAACCTCATACACAGTCTTCGGTAGTTACTGTCTTAGATTGACTGACAGTTCGGTTTTTTTTAATTTAACATTATTCTAATAATTGGAAATAACAAAATTTATCAGTTTGCATGTAACATCTTATCCCGAAAACATCATCGTACAAAACTGGTTAAATTTCCATTGATTTAAGTATGAATAAACAAATCAAATAAACATTTAAAATGAAGAGAAACAATCCTCTCGATTTAAAAGTAAGCATGTAATAAATTCGGACTTGTTAGACTATTCAAAAGCTGTAAAAAAATGTTATTGGTTTGACCGCACATTAAAAAATTACCGCGAAAATGGGAAATTGAATTGTTTAATTTCACTTTCTTCATCTTTATTTCTTATAAGATCAAGCTAAGTGAATTGATCATGGCGGACTATTTTGTATGGAGAAAAAATTAGGCCTTATGCGTACGTAATTAATGTGATGAAACAATGTTTCTTCTATATCTTTAGAAAAAGTTATCTTGTATTAATTGATGAATGCTTACGATGTTGAAATTAAGAGAAATATGAATCTTGTGTTCATTTGATTCCCACTGAGTAATTATACTAGGAAAAAAATTGACAAATGTTTAACTCAAGGTGATTTGTTATTAAAAAGAAGTATAATAGCATGATTAATTATTGTTTCCTAATACATATATATATATAGTTTTCAGTTTACCTAAATAAATATGTGTTTCAAAGTGTCTTTGATATTTTCATACAGTTCATCTTAGCTATACAATATTTTGGTTAATAGATGCTGTTTAATTTCAATAATAAACTCTTATTACATTCTACTTTCACTTGTCTATTCCTAAGGGACTCAGTTAGATATTCTTTGCCCATACAAATTCATTTAAAAAGTTCGAGATTTTCGTTCATTTATTTTTATGTTCTTAGTAAATGAATCAGTCACACCGACATTGATTTATGTTTGTTCGGTTACATAAACTCGAAACGATTGAGGGAAATGTCTTTTATTTATTCTAATCGTTTAATTGATTGAAAGTTCACGTCAGCACCTACTTTGTATATCATAAACTGTGTACTAGTGAAAATTAGAACATCAATTTCAGGTAAAACAAAATAGCTCGAATATATTCCAGTCGATTAGTGTCATGGCATTTTTCAGTAAACTGATTGACCGATTGAACTTTGCCGAACTGGATTATAAATGGTTGTGTATTTCCTCAGGTTGACTTAAAAAACTATTCAACGTAAAACGTGTTGGTCAGTATTCTATGTCCGTTGTTTGTTAACTTTGATTGTGAAGTGTTAATTCATAAAGATTTCAATTGGTAGTAGATTCATTTTCCTTTTGTCAAACTTTTACTGATTAACACTGGTAAAACTTGAGAGCTGTATCTTTTTATTTAAGGACGTTTTGGTTGTGGGAAGCAAAAATTCAGTTAGTGATTGGCCACAAGACAAGATCTCGCAACCGACATGATACTTAATGTTGAATTTAGCAACATATATATGAAGCAGTTAGATAGTTCTATAAATACCAAAATTTGTGTTTTAAAATATATTCTGTGAGAGAGACTTTTTACTGCCTTTGCAACGATTCACAATTGCAAATCACGAGAAATTCACTTCGAGTTAATTTTATGGGATGTGAATAGTGCGTAATAATGAAATTATGTGAAAGATAATCATTCCTTTTCAATGCATCCTGTGGTTATCATATAATACGGTCGATAGTAATTACGAATGAACAAACGTAAATTCATCTGAATTGCTACAGTATGTCAGCATGATAAACTAATATTGACTACATAAAAAGCCGAAAAGTCAAAATATTCGTGAAAGAGGAAGTACTAGAAGCACGTTTAAAAAGTCAAATGAAATCGATAAAAAGTGTAGAATAATACATTGTACTGAGATTTAGAGAAAGATGATGCAAAAATCAAAATTGTGCTCATTTGTGACTAGCTTCATGAGGAAATTTACGGGGTTCCAATCTGAAGACGTTACCAGTTGAGTTCACCCCTGTCGGATGCGTGCAGAAACTACCGAAGACAATGGGTGAGATTGTGCGAAACCCTTAGGTTGATCAGAATTAGACATTTACACCGTTGGATACCGACCCAGTGGTCCAGAGGTTACTCATTCGCGCGCAAGATTGAAGGTCCAGGGTTCGAATCCTGAAGGTTGCAGGAGTCGAGGAAGCGCACTGCTGACAAGTTCCTATACCAGGATGAGACGACCTTACAGTGCTTCCATGTTTCTTGAGCTGATCTAGCTGATTCATCCATGATATTAATGTAAAGATAAATGAGACTGATTTAGATCACATAGGGTCTTCAACAATTGATAAAATCATAGCATGGAGTCCGATCAGGAAATCTACAGAACTCCGATCCTCCAGTAAACTTCATTAAATTTCATGTCTCATATTTCTGGGGAAAACTATTGCAAAGTGGTTACATTGAATAAAACTTTAATCCGTTATTTTCGTTCTATGTATTAATTGATCTGGTAAAAGGTATTAAAAGAAAGTCCACGAGACGCGATCAATCATTATTCAGGTGACCATGTTGAAAATATTTCAAATCACGTGGATTTTTATGAATATTTTTCATCAGCTGTGTAAAAGTACTTATTAAGGTCATTCGTCTACTACTTAGATGGTTACTTTACAAAATTTGGTACTTAATTTTGTCTCATTTAATTTCTTCATGATATATATGGATATAGATTTGCAACTAGAGTTACGGCTGTCTGCAATATTACCATGAAAAGATACTCATATCATATTTTCTGTTTAAAAGCAGTCAGACGGTATCATTAATGAAATGAGTTACTTAGAAATCATGCTTATGAATATTTTCAACATAATTATACTCTGTCAATCATTTTCATGCCTGCAAACAGTTGAAAATCTTTGCAACTAAAATGACAGTACACTTGTGTTAAAGGAATGACATTTATGCAAGCTGACTTATTCTGTGCAACTGATAAATATGTTTCTCAAATAAAGCACGTTGATAATTAGTAACATATTCAGCAGTTAGTTAGGTGAAATATTTCTTAAACTAGTTATTTACTTCTTCACATTTTACTACTGTGGTTTTTTTTAATAAAGTGTTAATTCACTATACATTAAATCAAATAAACGTATTATCAAATAATATCGTTCATTTTAATCAACTCGAATCAATGTAAAATCTGATTTCTAATTTTTTTCAACACCATATCATTTCCTATATTTTTGTTTAGAAAAACACACTTTTCAATTTGTGAACAACTAGTTCTACATTGAATTCCATAGACATTAAAACGAATTATAAAAATAAACGCTTTTTTGTAAATGAAAACGATAAATAGAGATATTATATTTTTCATTTTTAAAAATTATAATAGTTAATTGATTTGTTTGTTTGTGTACTAACGCGAAATACTATTTAACATTTGATTTGAGTTACATAAATGTAGATTTAACATTGAATGAACAGATAACGCTCGTTATCTTACCCATAACAATGAAGTACTAATTGCTTATGACAAAATTCCGAATATAACCCAGGATCAGTGCCTTGAACAATATTTGTTATCACTCTCATTTGGGTTTTTTTGTTTCATAAATTATGATCCATAGGTAGGATGAGTGAATATTATGTAATTTGAACAGTATTTAACTTTTTCACTTGCTTGAAGGGTCTCAATTTAATTTGAAATATTAAACAAGGACAAATAAAACGATCACTACATATATTTTACGCTAATAAAACTTTCTTTCACTAAGTAACACAAGGATTGAAATAAGAATAAACTGACTTACATTTTTGTTTTTACGCATACCTAAAATAAATTACTGTTGCATGTTTCCTTTAGACACTTCCATACGTGATAGCAATCTATAATTTATAGTTGTTATAAGTCAAACATTTGTAAAGAGAATTTAAAGATTCCATAAAAATCGTGTTGGGGACGTTAGATCTCCAGAACTCGCTTGATAAATGTCTTATTTTGGATTTCACATTTGCGAGAATAGGCTGATCACTTGACCTTGAGATTTCATTTCCCACCAGGAAAATCCTTGGCTGTGATTGGCTGCTGCGTATTTTGGTGTGCTATGTTTGTGACTGTCCCAAGGACGTTTCTATGATGTATAAATAATCGAGATTTGTGTGCTTGATTTCATTGTGCTTGCTGGGTGTTTGTAGAATATACTTTCTACGCTACATGAAGACTTTTCATTAGTCAGCAGATCAGGGTAGCCTACCTGGTCGCTGGTTCATTGTCTCGTTCGCGTTTATCGACTAAAGTGAACCCGTAATAGTTTCAAGCATACCTAGTGACGAACCTAACAAATCGTTTCTAAAATTTCAAATAATGGAGAGAGAGTATGAATAAATTGATAGTTATCAAAGTAAAATAATTCTGAACGCATCACTTCACTGACGGTTGACAAATTCAAAATTTTATTCAGTTAAGGCGCATTTCGATGACCGATTTTTGTATATTCTCGTTTTGTGAAATTTTTTAAATAAAACTGTCAGGAAGAAATATTCTACTTCTGGGATATTTGGTTAATTCCTTTGTGGGAGTTATGGAATTAGATTATTTACAGTCTAATAAATATCTGCATCATTAACCGTTATTTACATACATATATTACAGAATTGTATATTTGATATTTAAACAAGGCTTTTTTTCGTAAATAATGTTGTTGCTAGGATCGATACAGTTATGACTGAATTAGGCTGGAAACGTACATTTGACCGGCATGCAGATTATACACTACGTTGGACGGAAAACAGTATTCAGATTAATTATGGAATGTTTAAAGAAGGTGAACAACTTGTGAGTTTTTGTGAGTACGTTAAAATGTTACTAAGTATTTTACTAAATGATGTATGCATGTGTGTATTAAATTATAGGAGCAATTATGTTGAGTGGGCTAAGTCATGTTTGTCGTCGAGCTAACCATTTTATTGGCCTGTCAGCTGACTCTGATATTTATGAACATTTGAGTATGCTGTGAAATAAATCTCCTCTTCAGTTTCCGTATATCATACTTAGACGAATCTCGTTTATTCGATGGCGGTATTAAGAAGCCAAATACAGATTCGCTTGTGTGGGTTTATTTCAAGCGGTCGTTCATGCAGACAGACAAGAGAATACCACGGGTAAAGTAAAGCAAAACGAAGTGGAGAAGGCGAGTGAATCAACTCAGTGTGATGAGGCATGACTAAGCATTTATAAGTCAGACAAAAATAAGCCATATATGCTACATGGGAAGTAAGAGGCACGTATAAACACTCGGATAAAAACAACCAAAAGGAAAGCGAATAGTTGGCAAGGTCAAAAGACATGTGAATAACTCGGGTAAGATCGATTAGTTAAATTGTCTAAAGGCTTGGGCTCGACATAAAAGTACACACACAACAAATGTTATTGAAGTAATTGTATTTTAGGAATTCAGTTCAAATGAATTCACCACTTGGCCTTTTAGTTAGAAATACTCATGTCTGTTTGATTTGACGGTCTTTTAGTGTATATGTTCATATAACTGTGTTCTGATAACATGAACCAGTGTTCATAATAAACACTAGTTAGAATTTATTCAGCCTAGAGCTGACCTTACTCCATAAACCAGCGAGGACTCAATCCATTGACGAAATCAGTTGGAAGACCATCCACACTTGGGCATCAAGATAACTGAAAACGATAATTTCAATGCTTAAAGAGTGATTTTGCCTTGTTTCACCTACTATATTGTCTGAATTGTTACCAGTGTTTTTATGATGATCAACGTGGTAGAACCTTGTCTGTCATTCAGTATGAAATTTAGAGATACGGTGTGGTATCGATAAACACAGTGACAAAGCTTTTCGTGATTTTAAATGTCGATCTTAGTATATTTTATGGTAGAATGGGTTTCTGAATGTTCAATCAGTACACTAATCAAACAAAGTCTTACCTCAAGATTGTCTTGTGATATATTCAAAATACTTGTAGAATTAAATAACTTCTTCAGGTCGTTATAATCATTTTCTCTGAAGTTATCAACTTAAATTAATCGTATATTCAATATCCAATAAATTATTAACTGCTAAAAATGAAAATGATTTTAAAAAAACTACTCTTGTCATTTTATTAAGGTGAACCATATTCCGAATTGTGGATTACTTACAAACAAACTTGGCTTATTACTAAGTCTTCGTGATTATGAACGACGATATCAAAATAGATTTGGACGATTACCAATTATGGTGATGGATGATTTCTTTCCCAAAACATTTATTGTCGATGATCCAAAAGAACGAGAAGCTTATTTTAAATTACAAGAAAGTAAGAAAATGATTACATTTCTGTATATTAGTATTTTGTAGAAATTTTATTGGATAGCAGTTAAACAAGTTTTGTAACGTAATTAAGAAGAAATATATATTTCATGATATGATTTCAAAAACGTAGGCTCGTTTCGAAACATTTATCATTGAATTTATTTATCATCTGAATAAAACTCTAAAATGGACTATTTGACTTAAAGATAGTCTGACTGGATTAACTTACTAAAACATTTTGACCAAAAGAATAATCTAACTTTGATTGAATATTGAGATTTATAACTTAATTTAACTGTGAATGGCCTGTCAGTAACGTCTAGCATAAGGAGTAGTCAATTGGTTTTTGAAGGAACCTAAAGTGTTAGAAATACTCATGGCAGTAGTCAGGAGTAAAGTAAAATAATCAAAATAAGGTTTCAGAAATCAAGTACTATACCTGAAATTTAGTGTAAATCTATGAGGAACAACGTTCAAATAGAAGAGTAATTGCATTTCCAAATAAGAAAAGTAGCTTTTATATTTTTGATCTTTTACTTTATTACAGAAATCAACATTAAACTGGAAAAATATTTATTACCCCCATACATTTTATTACGAACCTGACATCTTTCCATATACCACACATTTACCGGAATCATATATTATTACAATAGGAACAGAGATATTCTAATGGTGAATTTTTGACAAGTGGTGAAAATCTGTTTACGTAGATATTTAGAGACTAATAAGTTCACATTGTTGATTTGTTTTTATTGAATCTATGAGTGTAATTTGTGTTTAACCACAAATTGGCATGATATTTATGATAAATCCAAATTTGAATTATTATCCTAAACAGCTTTAGACAAAAGTTTACATTATATAAGTTATGTTACTTGCTATTTCTTGTTTTTTCTTGTAAAAAATACATTTTACCATCTATAATCATTTCGGCTATTAATTATTGGTATAATTTTCAGTGAAAATGTTAACTAACAATTAGTATAATGGATAATTTATCATTTTGGCTATAAAAAATAGTTTTCTGTTTTTTTATTATTAGGGATGCTTATGATAACTATGAATGAATTTTAGATTCATTTTTATTGTTGTCAGTTTTCAAGGTGTAGTAATCCAAACATCTTAAATTAAGATTTCGTATTTATACTGCGTACCTGTAAGACACGTTAACAGCTTTCGGATGACCTAATTAATTTCAATGTAACTAAGTTTGCAAGTTATCAATATGCGCTTCTGAATTCATAAATGTTTATTATGTATAATATTCCAAAAAAAAATAATAAAGCTCTTCAGGAAAATACTTTTATTTGAACTTGACATTAAATCGGGTCATAGTAATTTATTGAACTTCTATTGTGAAATGCTTAGAAATGTGAATTTAAGTTGATTTTAAATAGAATATGTAAAAGTGAACGGTAATTTGCATTACGAAATTACATTGGCTAAAGAACTATTAAATACCAGGAAAAATTAAATAACGGTGCCTGAAGGACTTAAGTTCCGTTCCATGCAGTGTGAACTGAGAAATCCTCTACAGATATACAACTATTTTGATTCCCAGAAGAGGTTATCATGAAATCTACATTTAAATAAAGTTGAAAAAAAAATTATTTCCATTTATAAATGTCATTTTCTTTAAAGATGATGAAGAACCTCATATGTGGATTTGTAAACCAATCGGTCAAAATCAAGGCAAAGGTATCTTTTTAGTGAGAGATGTTGAAAAGTTCAAGCTACACTTAAAAGAACGAGATGAAGAAGCACGCAGCCAACCATCTGGACTTTTACCAAGAATAATTCAAAGGTAATTCCATGGTGTATTTATTAAATTTGCATATCTTTGAATTTAGTTTCAGTGATTTAGTGAGTTTTTTTTCAAATAAACAAACAGATGTTTGCACAAATGTTTTTAGTTTAGTTCCATACAAGCTGAACGTAGGTTATTTTGTTATGACAACTCATGAGTGTTTGAAAACGTGGAAAAACAATTTATTACAATGTCATAAAATGGAAATATTGCTTTGGGCAGTCTGAATGACATATTGAGGTCATCAGTTGTACATAAATATCTAATTTACCGCTTAACTTACTGAGAAGTATCTAATGAGTTACTGAAACTACTTAGATATTAGTCCAGTTCAGAATCGTGAAGGATAAACCAGTCATAAACACTTCTGAAATGTACAAAATGAACCTAAGAATGACAATGTGTAATATAGTATGTACTCCGAATCTAATGTCTCAATGTTGAACCTGGAGCAAAGCTTACTTCTTAATTTTAAATAATTAAACCAATAAAATAACCATAGACTTACATTGAGGCAATATAGTTCAAACTATAAAAAATATCATGGAAAGTGTTCCAACTACTGACTGTTTATCGATGATAGTTCCGTTAATCAAGCTGCATTTAAAGAAGGTTAGTTTCAATTGAACTAACACGAGAAGTTTAAACATCAAGCAAAAAGGAATTCAGACAAAACGAAAAATGAGTAAATTTTCGGATTTGGAGATATACCGTTGTAAAAATGAATGCAACACAAACAGATATGCACATTTTGTTGGTACAATGAGTAGATTCGACTGAGTAATTATTATCAGAACTAGCCTATATTAGATTTTATTCCAGTCATTATAAGTAAATCTTTGAATAAAACATTGATAAACAAACTTTTAATCAGTATAACACAAAGGTTTTCTATGTTCTGTTGTTGAAAAATAACTAGTTTCAATACTTCATCTATTGATCAGCCCCTTACCTAGTACCTGTTTCCTAACGACAGCATTGTTTTCTCGGTTGTCCCATGAAACACGAGCAATGCTTCAGAGACACCTACGATCGAAAACAAGCAATCTACTAATATCTTCTACTCTGACTGGCCATTTTTTACAGCCATAAAGCAGGACGGAGCGAACTGCTGTGCAGTACACTCGTCCTTTGGTTAGCAGACGGATATCTCGTTTACGCCGTAAGTGATGCAAGTTGGCAAAAGCCATTCGAGCTTTCTGTATCTGTGCTGAGATTTCGTCAGACCCTATGCCATCAGTACTGATGATGAAGCGGTCAACAGGCTCAGGTATTCCACTCTCTATCACTTGTTTAGGCGCTGATGCAACCCAACCCTGAAGTAATAGGATGTTAGTCAATATGGTGTTTGGATAATATGTTATGTTGTTTGTGTATGTATTTGCATATCAGTTACAGGTAACTAATTGAATAAGTGTTCAAAAGTGATGGGGTTATAAAGTGTTTGATTTATTGAGAGAAAATCTACACTTTTCTATTAGGATTGAATAGGAGCTTTCCTACTGCCCCACTGGTTTTTTGTTATACAACATTAAGTGTTTATTAAATCATTCAAAGATAAATCAGTACCTGTCCAGAGTCAATTGCATATATGAATTTACATGTACCTAATGTAACAAGTAATAGGAAGGATAACGAGAAAGGTTTCTGTAATGTATACTGAATACATTCCTACGAACAAATGCTCAAAAGAAAGTGAGGTTTGCACGGATTTAAAACTACCAGGAATCTTTTGGATGTAGGACATGAAGGGGATCTAAGTAATGCGTTTAAATTAATTAACAGACGACAAATCCCATTTTTGTCCCGTTTTTCAAAGGCCCTTGGTCTCCAATGTTTGTGACCTGTCGTTTGTATGCAGAATAAATATGTGATTAGCTTTTCTCTGCCAAATTAACCAAGTGCAAATCATATAACCCTCACCTTTATTGGTCTCTTAATATTCATCTCTCACATCATCCTATTTATGTTCGTATATTTATTTGATTTTATTTCTTATGTTGTTTAACGTTTATTAATTTCATCACCCTGACGTAACCCCTTTCTCTCTTGATTATGATTATTACTGATAATAACACTTTTTCTACTCTGTGTTACTGGTTTCCAACATATAAATACAATGTTTATTTATACATTGTTTTTCTACTAGTTTTAATAAAATTATTTTGGTTACGTAAACAGCATTTATCCAAACTTCACAAACTAAATTATGTAAAACGTTTGCTAATAATTATATTAATAATTTCAATCTTAGGCTGTATGCAACTGATGAAAAGCTGTCAAGATGAATCACTTCACGTGATTCTGTAAACACTGTTGTTTTTTGTTGTATTAATTTGATAACTAGTGAAAACAGCACACACATTTACAATGGCTATTCATTTGTATCGGTAGTTGGCATCTAACCAGCTTCATCCAGCATATTCTCATCCTGTAAGGATCGCCCCAATATAGACATTAGGTTACAATCAGAGATGGATGAGTCATTGTTTAAGTAATTGTGGTCCCATAATCTTCATAAATATATCAACAAAATATGAAACAAGGAAGTTGATGTACTGCTTAAAAATCCCAGTCATACACATAGTATCACAACTTACACAATTAATGCTTTTTCCACTTAAGTTAATAATTAATTTCTGTCAAAGAAATGTAGGATGACTAATATTTGAGAAATTGTGATGCCTTAGTAACAATAGGATTCTCAATTGAACAAGAAACTACTCATATGTCAATAATTTTCTCTTGTTTTAAACATATTTCAGATATATCATCAATCCATTATTACTTGATGGTTGTAAATTTGATATACGATGTTATATTCTTATAGCTTGTACAATGCCTTATCTAGTATTTTATCATCCTGGTTATATTCGACGTTCACTTAAACCATATTCAAATGAAGATCAGAATCTTATCACACACTTGACTAATCAAGTAAGTTAATAATTTTTAAGTTGTTGCATTGCTGTTCCAATAGTTATAGACCAAAAAACTCAATGTAAATTCGTCATTGATAAAGTTCAGACATTTTTAACGCAATGAATGATTATTCCGAAGTACAGCAATCATTCTTTACATTAACAGATTTTAATATGCTGTATAAATTAAAAGTTGGTAGAAAAAGACGTATTGATTCAAAGAATATACACTAAAATTTTTAAATCTGGAAATAATTTTATTAACTAAATAAAAGACTATTAAGCGGCTGTCAAAAGCTCCAAATCATTGAACAGTGTTTAATTCTTAGTAAAGAACATCTTAGCTGTCTAAATCAGGATATTCAGGTATCGTGAGAAGCCTGAAAAGCTGAAAATTTTATTATCGGACTTTTGAACTTTATTCATTTGATGAAATGGCTTTGATAATCTTCCAACACCATCAAGTTCAATACACTAATTTCTCCATGATAAACTCCATTGAATATGAGCTTTTATTAGAAATTCAGTGTTAAGGCGTCCAATTTGTCTGCTGATGAAGGTCCAGTAATGGTAAAGAACAGTTGTCTATTAATTCCTTGTTCTAAAATATTCACCGGCGTGTGTGAGCATCTGCTGAAAACTTACTTCTGCATCATTTGCTGTCAATAATTATCAACCAAGTTTTATGTTTTACATTCGTTCAATCTGACTAATTTATGAAGAACATAACTCTAGTTTATAGAAAAATAATATAATGTTGCTTAATTTATTGTTTTTCTGAATTTACCAGTTTGTACAAAAAAAGGATCCAGGCTATGCAGAAATAAAGAATGACACAGTTTGGAGTTGGTCTCAAGTTAACGACTATATCAATAAACATTATCAAGCAGAAAAGAAACTACCAGTTGATTGGACTAAAACTATTCTTCAGGTAGTTTTCGTTGAATTTCCTCGTAATTTATTCTACAAAATAATGGACGTCATGTTCATAAAAGAATTAAATACAATTAAATTTTTTTCTCTTTACGCACTGATAATAATAAAGGTAGAATATTTGAAACTACAGTTTGTGTTCATGAAATATTAGGGAATACTTATAGATTAAAATTTTTTATAATAATTTGTTTGTTAAATACCGTTGTTATTAGTTTAGGTTTATCAAAAACATACTATACTTAGCTAACTACTCACATTCATCTCACTCAACTATAAAGCATTAAGACTCCTTATGTCCAGCTTATAATTAAAGCTTCATCTGCTAAGGAATTTACTAGAAATTTGTATCAACTGAAAGATCAACACTACTAGTACCGAAGCATGCACTCTAACTCCTTGTCCTTTCTAAATTGAACGTAAAACTGATCTTAAGTGTTGAAAAACAGAACAAAAATGTTTGATTATGTCAACAAAATACACACCTAGAAATAATCAGTGTTTGTTTTGTTCATATTATTTTAATTTTAGTGGAAAATTCAAAGAATTATTCATCATGTATTTACTACAGTAAAAAATAGATTAGCTGCAAGAATTGGATTTTTTGAGTTACTCGGTTTAGATTTTATGTTGGATGAAAATATGAAAGTAAGTTGTTATAGATGTTGAAAAACTTTACAAACAATATCCATTTATAGGTCTAAATCTTTTGTTGAATACTTGTAATTATCACTTATTGACAGTGATTATTTCTGAAAACAAAGTACATAAGAAGTTTTTTTATCCGTTTGTTTTTATTCATCATTAAACATTTTGGCTTTAGCTAATTTATGAGCAGAATCATTGAAATTGTCAAGATTTACGGGCTGATTATATTTTGAGCAATGTTAAATAAAGGAAACCACGTTAGCTAACGATTTTCAAATATCAAACAGGAATGAATGATGGGTATTTTAGCTCAAAAGATTAACAAATAATGTTGCGAATTCTAAAGCAAAGGGCACTGTGTTTCACTCTCAGCGAAAAAGACAACGTTATGTTACAGGTATAACCTGACTGATAATTCTTTAATAAGACGAAACAAGCTCTTTTTGGTTTCACTCGCTTGCCATAATCCAAGTTTTCATAACAGTATTATTGTTTTACAGTCTAAAAGTATCCTACCAGTTTTCTATAGGAAACCAGCTGATAGATTAGGATTAAAAATGAAAAGTTTCGAGGGTTGAAACGTTCATTCACGCAAAACCACATGACCGGACATTATTTTGATTTAGATGGTTATCAGTAAGAAAGGCTGGATTGAAGTTAAGTGTCACTCGAAGCATACCAGTAAGGTATGCTCAGCATTTTGCGAAAGCCAGTACAGAACATTGGAATTAAAACCTCGTCACTCAGCCTCACTGTCTGAGACATCACCACTTGGCTGTCTGATCAACGACTGATACCCGTTTGGACTAAGTTAGGTATATGGTTTCTTGCCAACTTCCTTCCAAGAAGTAAAGGCAACAATATATTGGATTTGGCATCTAAACACCCAGAATGGTGTTCACATTGGAACCCAAACGACATGATTCGGTCAACACTAATGAATTAGACAAGCAAGATATTGATTTCTGATCACTTACTATTTATTATAAATTATTAATTATAGTTTATCGATTTGTGTAAATGATATATCACAAACAAGAACTAATTATTTCAGCGCTTATTGATGTTGATGTTCAGTGGATACTCTGTGAACTCACTATATTTTAACTTGAACAGAAACGGATTTCGCACACGAAAAATCAAAGCATTCATAAACCTATGTATCGTCTTGTGCACATTATGCTTGATTGATTGAAACAGAGACTTAAACCTCTAATAATATAATTGAATATGAAAATGATTTTTAAAAATGATTCCACCATCACTCAAAATTAAATAGTCTCATATTTAGACTAAATAAAAATAATTGAATTTTGTTCGTGCTTTTTTAGTTTCTGATAAGTTAAGTTTCCAGCCTCATCTTGAAAAGTGAACATGAAATATTTTGAAAAAAGTAATATCACACCAAAATTCGCATAAAATTACATTCTTGTAGGTGGTTAAGTAATACATTTACATCATAAATGTATAGTTTTTATTTTAAAAAAAGTTAAGCTACAAGTTTTACGTAAATTCAGTAGACCTAGTTCTGCGATTTGTTGATTTCTTAAACGTGATTCAACAAAATGGTGAAGGGAAGTGAAATTGTAGCATTTTGTAAACTAATATAGATGTATATTCCTAAATTATCCACAATTTCTTAGCATATATAATGATAAGTTCAAGTTTTAAGATTTCCACTAACAATAACGTTGAAGCCAAATGAAGGGTCAAGTAAACTGATCATTCATTTTCGTGCTTATCGTAACACCTTAAACTATTGAGTTCATATCCCGCTCGAAGTTGCAAACTCTCAAAACAAACAACGTGTTTCATGTCAGGTTAAAGTTGTTTAATTATTCATGTTATCTGGTGATAAATGTAATCTTAAGGATTAGAAAAATGTTGGCTTTTTATGTAGTACAGATGATATCTTATCACTACATAATATTCATGAGTTATGTTTACGCATTTACAGGTATGGTTACTTGAAGTTAATTCAAATCCCGCATTACAGACTCATTGTGATGTTTTAAATGAAGTTGTACCAGGAGTAGTAAAAGATGCTTTACGTAAGTTGCAGCATGAGTTTGAAAATGTATACTGTATTTGGTGTAGTAAATTTTTGAAATATAATTCAATAAAATGAGTTGAGTGTGATAAGGTAAAAATTACAAGATATAATGATCATAATAGTCAATTCCACTAATATCAAAATATATGATGAATGTTATTTTGGAAGAGTCATACTCTTGAAGTTAATTTTATTACATTAGACAGTAGAATTAACAGAAGGACAGTTACACTAACTGTTTAATTTTAGCACTATGATTTAAATGTTCAATGTCCTTGTAAAGACTTGAAACGTTTATGTCCCATCCAGTTTTTGTTCAGAATCATTTGGTGCTAAAAAGACTAGCACTGTGTCGAAATGACGATCAACTATTTTCAGATTTACAATTGTTTTATAATGAATGTTATTTTCTGAAAAATTTAATATGATAAATATTTTTCTAATCATTAATTGATACTGCAAAGAGTTAAGGTGATTTCCCATTATCTTAATATTTAGGGATCATCTCACTCAATTTCACCAAATTTTACCTTAAACCATATTAATTCTAGAGATGATTGATTCTTCTATTATCAATTTATAATCGTCAATTAATCGGATGAAGTTTTGTATAACTGTAAAGATTTTAAGATCAAATTGTTAGAATTGTTGAAGGCCTACTCAATTTTAAAGTATTCATCAATGACCCTGACCAGAATAACAATGAATGCTCAACAATTAGTATAGATAGCATAGCGCTTACAAAATCATTCATTACAGATATGCATATTTATCATATGAATGTTAGACTTCAGATAATTACTTTGAATCAACTTAAATATTTTATCAAACTACTACTTGCTTCAATTGATTTGTTAAACGTTTCAAAAAATTAATATTTTTCAGGATCTACTCAATTCTACATACAGTTTCGTGTGACTTGGACAAGACATTCTACTACTTGATTTACAATAAATAAACATATTATACATTTTTCATTCTTTTGTAGATATCAGTATTGAATGTTTTGAAAAAAGTCGTCATCAGAAATGCTTACTTCCATTACAAGGTCTGGACAATTTATCTGCTTTCATATTTTGTCAACGAAGTAATAGACATACAAGAATAAGTTTAGATGAAATGCCAATGTTGAATAAAACCAGTGGTGACTTAGGTGTACCAGCTGGTTGGAATTTATTATACAACGAATCACAAGCAGCATTTCGTGCACGATGGCCAATACTTCAATCATCTAGTCTTCGTGGTTGGATTCCACCGAGATATAAACCACCTATTATTCAGAATAATTGCAATGATAATAACAATGAAAAAAACAAGTCGAATGATGTATCTCCACAAACATGGTCGTCAACAGTTGCAACTAATGAAAATGTTAATCTAACAGTAGGAAACACTGTAGACGATGTCAGCTGTACTTTAAAGGACCGAAATACTTCACAAACTACTGTACCTAACCATCTGTTTTATCCACGTGCATCTTTACCGGAATATCGTACATTTGAATACAGTTTAAGACGTTACCCCGTTACGTCTAATACAATGAATAACAAAAAATCACCGCAAAGAAATACTGTAACTAGACAATCATTACAGAATACAAAACAAGCTATTATTTTACAAGATATCATCGAGAAAACTCCACAAACCGAGTCACTAATCACTGTGAAACAACCTAAAAGTCAAAATAAGACAATCAATACAAATTGTGGTAGCAGTAGTAGGAGCAGCAATAGTAATAACGTCGGTACTAATAGTACCATTGCCTTTAACAGTAGTAGTAGTTGTAGTAGTAGTAATAATAATAACAATAAACGAATAACAACAAATCATGAAAACCAATCCAAAAAGCAATCAAACTCTAGCTTAAACAATTGTACAAAGGACAAAAATGATTCAGAAGTATTCAGTGAAGATGAAATTTTAACTGACAAACGGAAAAACAGTAAAAAATTAAATTTAATATCAATCAGTAGGGAACCTATACAAATCAGTAGAGTACATTTAATAACAAATTCAGATATTGACAGAGTATTTAATAGCATTAATAATAATAATTTTAACAATGATAATCGCTCAAATGTGATCAAATTAACTACACCAAAATCAATAAATACTAAATCGTTTAATCAATCAACACGAATTGGTGGCATATCAGCTGGTCATATATACAATATTAATAATAATAATAGTAACAGTATTCATAATAAGAGTAAATTAACTGGTAGACCTTATATTAGCTCAAATAAATTACACTGCATTGAACCCAACGATTCGATTGCAGTTACAGTTACAAATACATCCCGAAAATCACATTATTCAACGGAAGATAGAGGAAGTTAACAAAAGGACAAATTGTTTAAATTTCGTTATAGCCATATTGAACAGGATTGTATTTCATGATAAGTCAAGATTATTTTTAAATATTTCGTAATTTCGTTTGCAAATTTATAATTTACTAATATTTTCTAGTTGTCTGTTTTAAATTTTCAATCCAAATGCCTATGAGTGCTTTCTTTTTCACTTATTTAGTATAGTTTCAATGAGACTAGTTTGTTCTTATATTTAATTTTATTTATGCCTATGTATAAGTCTGCAAGATGATATATATGTATGTGTAGGTGGCAGGCATAAGATTAGGCATTTATTATTTCATCTTGACAGGTTAGTTTATCATTTCAGAGAGACTGTATTGAATCAAACACATTTTTCAACTATTAGCTTGCATTATCTTGATTGTGTACAGTTGCTGTAAAATTTTATAGATTTTAGTGAGTATTTCCATTATAGTCTTATTATAACAATGTTTACTTTGAACAATACAAACTATATACAGAGCGTATTCTCTTTTTTTGGTGAATAAGCAAAATCGATTCACATTGTATAAACCATACTGGTGATCTTTATAATTTAACAGCTGTGTGTGAATGTTCAACTTGATGTCATGATGTGTATAGCGTTTTGTGTATTCCATCTCTTGGACATGTGAATTCCGCTTCTACCTCTTCTACCTCCTATTATTATGATTATTATTGTTATCAATAAATAATTTTCAAAAAGGACAACTAGTAATTCCATTGTTTATAATCTCATGTGTATTTTTTTTTGGTTCTTTCCTTTTATGTTTTCAATATTGTTTGTTACTGATCGATAACTGGTATATTTGTGATTTATTAAGATTTCATTATTTCTTTTGTATGCAATTTAATTGATTTACTTTTTTTGTTTTTGAAAAGTGAATAATAAAGAATTTCATTTGAATTTTTACTATTATTTTAATCCTTATTAACTAGATGCATAAAGAATGTTTTCAGTGTAATGCATAATATTTGAGTTAAGAAATTATATTCGATGACACCTTTCATTAAAATTATCAATTCGCTTAACGATTTTACAAGGACATGCATTTTCCCATTCGATGATATTCAAGAGGACGTTTGATCACTGTGTAAGAAATACTATCGAACTTCATGATCATTGAAAACGTTTCGTGGTATAGTGCGCGATATTGTTTATCTTTGGATCGATAGGTGCTGAGTGAACATTATATATATATATATATGTCTCAGATCGATCGTCTTCAGAAATATGAAATATTGAATTCAGAACAAATTACCTAAGGCTTACCTGATCATTTTAAAAATTGAATAGAATTGATTCAAATATTGAATACTAACTGTTTACATCTGAAAAGTGCAAAACGAATACAAAATAATTGTTCAATATTTTTGGATTTCAATAATTTTCTAGGTGTTATTAATCCTTGACAAAATGTATGTTCAAGCTTATTTCTGTTAAAGTAACATAAAAAATTCATTTATAGATTTTTTACGGTTGAAACTGAATATGAATAAACATAAGTTAAAACCTTAAACAATCTAAAAAGTGAATGAATATGAATCACTCATCAACCAGTAAAATTTTCGTCTACTTATTAGGTTTATTTTTTGTCTGTCAAATCAGTAGGGTTTGACGATGTAGCAAAAAAATCATTTGAATGTTTCATATTACTTTTCAGAATAAGTATCAAAGCTTAAGTTTTAATTAGGGAAGCAACAATTCAATTTACCATTCAGCCTCAGGTTCAATTCAGATACAGATGATCTGTAGGCATGTCATTCATTTTATTCATTACATCATAGTTATTTTTACTGGTTGTTATTTTAGGATATTTTTTCAGTTAAAAGTAGAAAACAATAATGTTATGCATAGTATGTAGCTTAATTTAGGATGATTACATTTACAAAACTGATAGAAAGTTTCCAAAGAAAAGGGAAGTTATTTCCTAAAATGATCATGTGATTGTTTAAATAACAATAAACATTCCAATTCTTTTTATCATTAAAGATTAAATAAGAAAAGAGATATCTTCATTGATCTATTCCTATTTAGTAAACAATATGATAAGATATGATGTACTTATAATGACAATTTAACCACTTTATTGGTAGATAAACTCAAAGTACATGTTAAAAGTATCAAAAGCTAACTTCTGTAGAAAAAGATGTACAGTTATATGAATATTTGAGTCATAGTGACAACAACTAAATTAAAATCTAAGTGAAATTGATTTGATAACCTGAACATTTTGAAGATGTGATGAATTCGATTTCGTAATGAATTGAAACTCATTTGAAATACAGTTATCTATAATAACATGTGTATATATTTTGTGAAATAAACGAATTCATACTAAGCAAGTGAAGTTAATTGTTGGGCCATTTCAAGTAAGTTGACAATAATCAGTTTCTCCTGTTTAATAGTTATCTGAGATGAAGTGATAAAACAACGATCCATTGGAATCTTTAACATATCAGTAATTGTGTATCGACTATAACCACCAGATAAATATTTACAAATTTATAACGTACTGTAAACGATTGAGTGTGTTATCATTGTTTTATATATGGATTTTTCAGTAACGCTACTATTAGAAAGCAACTTACATTGCTCAAAAGTTTTCTTGAATTACCTTTAGAAAATTTAAACAACGGATAAATTAATTGCCAGTCATATTGACCAACTCTCTAGTTTTATTTGCATATAAAATCCCGTTGTTTTTGATGAAACTGACGGTCTAAGAGTAGCGGGGATTTGTGGAGTGGCAAAATCAATACAGCTGGACAAAGTTCATTGTCTGGTCTTCAAAACTGGCCATGGATAATATTCTATCAATAATCATCAAGTCAGTCCAACATTTGTTTTTTCGACTCTATTTTGAAAGAACTATTAACAAAGAGTAATATAAATGTTTTATCAAAATATCGTATCTTCTACAAAACAATTTTGTTTCATAAGAGTCATTTTATCACTAGTCAGTCATGAAGTACATTTTTTGACCAAAAATATCACAACTTGTCTATAATGATGTAAATTTTTGTTACAATAACTGTTTTGATACAGGTATACGCACCCAGTTGTAATCAGAACTAAATGATGACGGAATTCAGGGCAGTTCGTTTACATGACTGAAAGTATTGTTAGTTAGACTACTACAAACCGCAATGCTGAGAAATAAATATCATGTTTATACACGACCTTTCTAGTTTACAAATATCATCATGTTGGTTCTTTGCACAAATCATGGTGTCAGTAATAGCTGACATCGAATTGATTTGGATTTATTATCCGAATGTTTCGATACTCAACACTTAATATTCGCCAGCTGTAACCATAACGATTTTCGATCGAAGATATAACACTGAAAAAGCAGTAAGTTACTTCACACTGTACAGAACGTTAGTTTGGTTAGTTTGATTATTATTTGTTGGTTTTTGTTTGTTAACGTTGTTTTTTCCAGTTCAAACAAAATGCCGCTCATTCTTTTATATTTGTCTCCCATTCTCGGCTAAGAGTGTGGATCCATCTACCTCTTTCCCTTGGTCTTAAGGATCACAAGTTAGAACTTGACTTGTGATGCATTTGGGTGCTTTTCTCAGTGTGTGTCCTACCAACTTCCGGCGCTTGTTCCGAATTTCTGCGTCTGCTAAAATTCGGTTTGTTTTCTGTCACAGTAGGGTGTTACTGAAGGTGTCTGGCTAACAGATCCGAAGTATCTTGTACACACAACTGTTAGTAGACACTTATCTTTTGGATGATGGCTTTCTTGGTTCTCCAAGTTTGCACCAATACTATATAACTTTCTTTACATTCGTATTGAAAATTCTGACTTCATTGTTTGTTGACAGTTGTTTTGATTTCCAGATGTTGTTCCAAACCGCGCATCCACATCTACATCAGATCAACAGTGTTTATTAATAATGCCAGCCAGATATGTAAAGGTCCCTATATCCTCCAAAGCTTTTCCATCAAGTGTGACTTGATTGGCGCTGGTTGCGTTGTATCGTAGTATCTTGCTTTTCCCTTTGTGTATGTTGCGACCTGCTGCTGCAGAGGCTGCTGCTATACTGGTCGTCTTCTCTTGCATCTGTTTTTGCGTGTGCGAGCCAGATCAGCTGCAAAGTTCAGATCGTTCAGGTGCATCTTAGCTGTCCACTGTATCCCGTGCTTCCCTCCAGATTTTGACGTCTTCATAACCCAGTCGATCACCAGGAGAAAGAGTAAGGGTGAGAGTAAGCAACCCTACCAGACACCAGTCTTCACTTGGAAAGAATCTGTGAGCTCTCCTCTGCGCACAACAATTTACATAGTTATTTAAAATTACAAGCTAGATATTTTAGTCTAAATCGATCAAAAAATCTCAAAGAATAAGTCAATTTATCCAGACACTATCCTGACACGGATATTAAAACTAGTCAGACAAGTTCCAGTTTATCAGGTATTAGGGGAAACTGCCACTGAATGTAGGGGTAAAATAATAAATAATTATATTAGAATATTGTAGAATAATAATTCTGCTTTCTTTTAATGAATTACTGAAAAATAATTTTTGAATAACCAGTGATTCATTGAATGATTGACTAATCCAAGTCTGTTAGGGAGACAACAGTCACTAGAATAGGGAATAATATAATTTACTAGGTTAGATGATGATTAAAATCTATATCATCTAGAATCTGTTATGCCTGAAAATTAGAAAGAATTGTTTTTGGCAATAATGGAATTTTAAAGTACAATATGATTTTTCCACTTATTCGCTTAATCAATTTTAGCAGAAATAGAAATGATATAAATTAATTGAACATTGAAATTGAATACCAAAATTCAAGTGATTTTTATTTGATATGTATGATTCATTTTTCATTTCTTAACAGAAGTAACTATTGAAATATTCAACGTATTTAATAGATGTTTAAATCAAACACTTGCTTTTTTTTTATTTCTATATATTTTGTTGATTGTCAGTTCCGAAAATTGTTTTTCGAACAGACAACAAAATCAATCTGTCTGTTTGTAGACTAATAATTTTATGCCCGAAACGATAAAACCCTATTGGATAACAGTTAATGAGGTTTTTGTTCCGTATAAAGATTGTTCTACTTAATATAAATAAGTAGCATATAAATATAAAAACATATGCATGTACATAAAATTAGATAAACACATTGCATTCCATATCAACGGGTTAATGCTAGAAATTGTATTACTTATTGATTCCTGTTAATGAAACTTTCTTCATTTGATCTGACATTTTATTTCAACACTGTTAGCACAAACAGCGTTCATGAACACGAATATACAATTAAATAAATTGTGTAGAAATGTCATTTATATACTTTATGATTGAAAATATGAAAAATACACGGATACATACTTTTAGTAGTTGATATTTGCCCTACATAACAATGACTGATTCTTCTAAAATCTAGAATTCTGTTATTTTATAAATGAAGAAAATTAGTTTATTTACATTGGGAAAAATAAATAATTTAGAAATCGAATATAAGTAGATGATTGACGATAAACCATTGAACTAGTAAAAATCATTTCAGATTTCAATTATCACGATAGTATGTTCAAATTGTTAAGCGTCATTGAATGAATAGCCTTAGGTTGATACTTTTAAAGAATATAGGCTACAAACGATATATTTTAACACTAAGATATAGCAATATTCTCGTACTTTTTAGTTGAATTATGTCTTCAAACTCTACAACCTAGTAATTATATTAGTAGGCATTACATTATTGAAATCCCGAAGTCGACATCTAAGTTCATATGTTTTGAATTAAACCGACTAGTCAAAGAACGTCAACGTATAATATTCAAATTTAGTGTAATACAATGTTTAGGTAAATTTACTATTAAAATGCATCTATACTAATTAACTTTGATCTATTTCCTCAACACACTATCATGGTGACATCATTTATGTTATAAGCTGAAAATGAATTTTCTTTATAGACTAAATCTATATTTAACTTGATCAATATATTCGATTTGATTTGGGATTTTTTTTTGACAAGACGATGTAATATTTATTATTTACTAAGATTTGTAGACTAAAAAGTACACAACAGATGATATAATTGCTCGTTGGATATCTTTTCAGTTTGTTAAGAGCTCATCTAAAGTATATTTCAGAAAGATATATTCAGCACATTGGATTGGTTGAAGTTCAATTTCAATCCTGCTTAATTACCAGTCAGGTGTCACCAATTTTATTGGCACGTATTCGTGCAATATCCATAATCAACTGGAAATGAAGTTCGAAGTATCCTAATTAACAGACTAATAGACTTATTTTTTATTTAGGGTTATGGAGTTCATTGTTTTTACTTAATAAAAGCATGAATCAATCACTGTTAGACCACAATTAGAAACCTGAAGGCACTGGACAGCCGTCTCATCCTGTTATGGGACTCAGCAGCAGTGAACATCCACGAATCCAGCTACTCACAGGACTCAAACCGAGGGCTTTCGAACAGCCCAGTTCGATATGATAAACTGATATTTTGCAAATTAACGATTTACGATATGGTTTTCCGATTTTACTGAGTAACTCTGTAATTTCGCTAAATACAATGCGATTGCCCTCACCGGTGTTCTCCTTCACTACAATATTATTATTCTGTTCACATGAACTGGATTGTATCTAGTTAAATATCCCCACTGATCGATTCTACAGTTCCAAACAATATTAAATAATTGCTGATCGATCCCTGATTCACAACCGTCCGTTTGACATCAGTTGATGTACATTAACCGAAAGCCTTTATTACAACCCAGATTCAAATAGTCCACAAATCTGATTGGTTTTCGAATGCTTTCATCAAACTGAATACAGTACCAGCCCAGTGCTCTCCACCGATTCTCACCTACATTATTGGCTGGTGAGTTGTTATTCTATTCAAACTTAAACTGCAGTAAATCTCTTGTATGTTGATTAGATTTATAGTGCTTCACAGTGACTACAGTTTGGCAACTATTGCGCCTTACTTTTCTGGTAAACATAATATTTATTGCGGTGGTAATTTGTTGAATATTTTAACTATTTAAAAGTAATATTATTCAATGAACCATTAATGAAGATGGAGTGACTGACAGCTGTTTTGTCGTAGTTTCTGACTACTGAAGTATTTCTAATGGGAAGGCATTACCTGTAGAAGTAGCAAAGTTGGCATTACAACGGTGACAAATGGATGAAAACGAATGTATTATTTTACGAATTGAGCATTTCACAGTCAAATGAAGTTATTTCTAATAGATAGAACAATACTGATCAGTTATTAGAAAATTAAAACCTAAAAGTAAAAGATAATCCTATAGATCTGAATAACTGATTGTATTGAAAAGATGAATATTATGTTACTGACTATAAATATTTCTGATAGAATTTCTTCTCACAGTGAATCGATATTACACACTAATGAGATATAAAATAGAAGAGAAGAGACTCCGTTGAAATACCAGAAATATTGAAATAGGAATTACAGCGTAAAAAACAATGGCTTACATTTTCATATATTTGTAAAATAAAACATTTCGTTGTGATTCACAGCATACACGCTATCAAAAAAAACTCGGTCACACCTTCTACACTGTAGTTACAATTCAAACTATAGAACAAGCAATAAATGTTGTATATAAATGCTCTCTATCGTAACCTAATATCAAAATGAAATTATTTTATTGAAAAGACCTCAAGATTTTTTGAACGTACATCTTGCCTAAGACAAGCTTCAGTCGAAGGATCTCTGAAAATATAGATCCAGTGTACAGTGGTTTCATCCCAACTAAGGACTGGTTAGGATAACACACTAGACAAGTTGCACCAAACTAAAAATTCATACATCTCAGTATCTCAGTGGGCATCTCGTCTTTAGTCTATTAACTTTTGATCCTGTAATGCTTTACAACTACAGTCAGTCAACAGAATTATGATTTAATTTTGCTAATAATTGAAACTGAGTTCAACCAGGTAATACGTAATTGACAGCGGTAACAAAGTTTATGCATAAATTCGATTTGGAACCTTTATTGGCAGTGAATTTACCATACATTATTATGATATATGGAGTCAACTTATTCATTACTTCTTGGTTTTTCAAAATTATATTGCAATTTTTTGATACAACCGTGGTGGTATTATATGGTTTAATCCAGGCATTAATTTACCGTAGTTTTGCTTTACCGATCAATCATTTAGGCGATGAAATGTATCTTGTATAGCTGATCATTGATTTTGTGATTTCATTTTATAGACTGACTTCGGTTAGACAACATTTGAAAATCAGGATACACTAAGCAGCTTTCCTATCCCGATTCGGCACACTTTATCAGCGCTGTTTTAAATCCTCTTCATTTGGCTCAGGTGATATATTTCACCGGAAAATTAGTTTGTAAACAAAGAATAATATAAATTATAATTGTTCATTTTATACAATAGCGAAATTTTTAATTTATATGTGTATCACATTAAGTTCGTCATTGACCTTGTTTCGAAATTAGGTCATTCCCTATTTTCATCCAAAGCTAAATGCTATAAAACAAACAAACCAGAAGTAAAGATATGGTGAAATTTTTGAAAAATTACAACCAATTAATTAAGTGTAACCTTGATATAATATAATATTTAAAAAGTGTAATTAAAATATATGCAGAGTTACGTAATATTTAACATTTATTTATATATACTTATAAGTAGATATTTCCAAGTAACCAATACAATCTTCGAAGTTAAAATTAACCTCATGTGCGTTACTCATGTTAGTTTAACTATTACTCTAGCAAATCTAACATTATATATGATCTTAAATTATTTTAGTCTTATACAAGTTATCACAGAAATTTCGAAAATTCAGTTGCCTAATCTTAATTAAATAGCCAATACCACTCACGATCACTTTCGAATTTTTATCACCTCTTTTCTTTACTATACCAAATTGAAGATATTTTCAGTCATTGGACAAAATCATATCACTCTGTGTTTTGGATGTAGTATTACTAGCCAAGTTTTTTGGGTGTAGATTTAAAGGGGATGAAAGTGATCGATAGGGCGGTCTATCATAAATGGTCATACTTTGCTTAAATTGTACACTTTTTCCATACATACCTATGTGCATGTCTGCTGCCTATGCCCTATCACGACCATTTACGTCAACATTGATTCAGTAATTTTACACTAGTTTTGTGCACACAAGATCAACACACATACAATTTTAAATTTGTTTAAGATTATTTTGAAATTTCTATCGAACTACACATAACATACATATATGTATAGGCAATATAGATTAAAAATAGTGAAACTTCTTTCATAACTGTTGCTAGACAATTAGCCAACTAAAATTCCCTAGGAAAGTCAAGTCTGCCTGATTATTTCACGATCAACAAGCACATATACACAAATACACAAATACACAAACATATCTACATGAGTGTTGTATAGTGTGTAATGGCTTCATTCAAACTCTTGGGTGCAGCCTACGCGCAATAAGTAGTTGCTTTCATAAAGTGAAATACATGCAAAGAAGAATATTTCTCTATATAGGACGAAGAGATATAGTAATTGTTTTATAATTTTTTTTTAAAAAGTATTTATCATCATTCAAAGTAATCGTAGTATATTAACGTGGCGTTATTTGGTGAGAAAATTGAAACATTTGTGCATTCTGTGTCTTCATTGATATATTAAACAAATTCCAGTATAAGAAGTGAGTATGAATTTTAATTATTACAAAATTATTGTTTCTTCTGATTCGTAGTTTGAATTAACTTATTTCGATTTTTTTTAACTGGATACACTTGAATTCAATTTAATTTTTGAGTTCACAGTATTTTAATTCATTTAATTTGAATTAGTACGGATGTAGTAAAGTAAATTACGATGAAAGTTTAACAGCAGCTCTAACTACATTTAATGATCATTTCACGATACTGATGACAGACTAAATGTAGATATTTGATGAAGTGAATGTCAGCTGCATAAATTAAAATTACGTTTTTCTTCTCCGTAAAACCCACGGATATTGGATTCAGTTGTGTGCTGTATATCCAGTGTACACTGAAAAGTTGGTCAGAACTAGAACGATAACCTTATTCAGCTCTTTGTCGGTTGTGATTGTGTTCCAAAGTACAAATTTAAGGTTCTCCGTATTTGATTATAGATTCCAGATCCCTTTTTCTCACTAAGTTCACAATTGCTTACTTTTTCAAGATTGTACAAATTAATTAAGAAACATACATTTTCATGAATCACATTTCAGTAGTAAAAATTAAACTATCAGTTTGTCGGAAACATAATTATTTTTCATTATTACGTTATTATTCATTTGAAATAAATGGCTTCGTTGAAATATTTTTTTAATAATTAGAGTTAGCCAGGTCAGAGACCTAAAAAAACCCAAATTGTTTTAGCATTCAGAAATTCAACTAAAATATTAATTCAACCAACTGTTTCATTTATTATTTGAAAGTTAGTGTAATATGTACATAATACAACAAACTGTTAATTGCTTAAAAAACTTATGTGAAGTGATTTGGGACACTAAATAATTGTGATCGATACGACGTCGGTTGATGTTTAGTGCTAAGTACATTCTATAGATCAGAGTGCATTGTGAACAGTAGATTACCTGATCTAATTTTAGAGTGTTCTATGGATATTCTACAGTCATCTCGTATTGGAAACTTTTTTTATCATTCACTTTTAAAAAATTTCAGTATCGAAATACTTGCATTACGGAGTTGTGAAGATTGTTAAGTTACACATTTTTGAAACCATGAATCGATCAATGTTAGACCACCATTAGAACCCGGAAGCGCTGGACAGTCGTTTCGTCCTGGTATGGGACTCCACAGCGGTGTAACTTAACAATCTTCACAACCCCGTAATGCAAATGACCTGTGCTCACTAGTGATTAGCTTCGTGAGGAATCTTCTCCGAGTTCTAGTGGGAAGACGTGGCCAGTGAAGTTCAACCTGTTCGGGTGTAGACAGTAACTACCGAAGACTGTGTATGAGGTTGCGTAACTCCGTGAATCGATCAAGTTAGGCATTAACACCGTCAGATACCAGCTCAGTGGTCCGGCGGTTAGGCGTTCGCACACAAAACCGAAGGTCCTGGGTTCGAGTCCTTCGGAGTGCAGGAGTCGTGGATGCGCACTGCTGAGGAGTCTCATACCAGGACAAAACGGCCGTCCAGTGCTTCCATGTTCTAATAGTGGTCTAACACTGATCGATTCATAGTTTCGAAAATGTGTAACCGGAATATTTATTCAATAAATTTAGAGTTTATTACATCTTGTACATAATGTGAAGATTTTTATGAACTAGCTTTTATATAAATTCTTTTTTGATGCACATATGTAAATGGTTACATAGATGCATACATGTACACACACTAATAAACATCTATGCATCAAAACATGAATGCCTAATAATTGAGTAAAGGCAATAAACAGAAATTTAAAACAATTTTTCCCTTTTATAAATCTTGATAAAACAGTGAGAAGACGTTATTGCTCTGAAATAATGTGATGTATTCGCGCCATAACCTTGAATTAACCTTGGTAATCTTTAAGCCTAGGGTGATGTGACAAGTTCCTACACTTTCTTATTCTTTCTCTATCACGTAAATTTTCTCTCTCCTTCATTTACCATTATCACCTTATGTCTATTTGACCTTTTATTAATCCTCATATGAAATGCCTTGACCAGTATTTGTGTGACCAGATTGTTTGAAATGTATACATCACATTTTTCCGGTCAATTACGTCTTCTCTTTTTGTTCTATTAAAATGAACAGAAAACACTAAAACTTGGCTTTATATTAGGAAACTAATATTCTTTATATGTTTGATTCATGCTTACATCTGACCAGATAACAAGAAATAAAATTAGTTACAGTACTGCGTTTCATATTCAAAATTGTTGAATAGAGATCAATTATCAATAAAGTCTAGATACCAGTACAGTCATGAATACCCAGTGAGTGTGCTTTACTACAGGCTTCGAAATAATAACTAAGATATACCTCACATCATTAATCATAGTACTTCTTAGGATCTAAAAACCAAAGGACGGTTTTTGAATAGTTTTTGAGGATCCGTTTGTAACATTTAGTGTTTATTTCACTATATTGTGATTTAAAGAAAATTCTATTTACCATTGATTATTTCGTTTAGATATTTTTATCAGGAATTCGTTCACAAAAACAAACACAATTTAAATCATTATGTTTGTCCTGAAATAAGAGAGATTGCTGTGAAATGGTCAACATTATTTCCTATTGAACAAACTTGATTAAGGTTTTGTTTACATTTAAACTTAAAAAATTGACCTTCTAAAATAGCGCAGAATCAGAAGTCATTTAAATATTAGGCGTGAAATATTTATTTTTGAAATACAGTTTGTTTATATTTGATAACTCAAACTAAATCCTAAATCACTTAAATGCATACAGGATAAATAACACGTAAAAAGTGGAAATTTCCTTGTTAAACAATTTCTGCACTGTTTTCATACGCCCCTGTGTTTTGTATCTTTGACAGAACACTAATTTTTTTCATCTGAAAATCAAAATGAAAAATTTTTTTACCATAAATCAATAAACAACGAGTTCAACAGTCTGAACATTTGCACTGAATAGGCATAGGTGCAAAGAAAAAAACTACAAGCGCAAAAAAGTTTGTTCAATTACATGTTGGCAATTTATTTTTGCAATAAAAACTTTAAAATCGAAATTTCAATTATGAAATATCGAAAACACAGAAACAAGATGCCAAAAAAAAAATTGAACAGGAATCATGTTAGTGAAAACATTCCATGTGTTTAACACATGTATATATATTTTTTTTCAAAATAGGACGAGAATGGAATAATAGGCGTAGTATATATCAGTACACTACTGGTCGATTTGTTTGTTTTTAGTTAATGTACAACCTAAAGTTAATCTATTTCATAACAAATTATTTATGAGAAACTAAATCTCTAAGGTTAAATTGTTTAATCTACCTGGATAAGATCTAGTAAACAAAAATACAACACAATAACAGCTGTTACTATCAAGTGGTTGTGTTGTTTATCAAGTAGAATTAACAAAATCAACAAAATTCTTTAAAAAATAACAGATAAACAGTGTTGGAAATGATTTTTAAATTTCTTTCAACATTTGAATACTACAGAAGGTTAGAAGTAACATATATATCGTATGAGACATTAATTTTTTTTGAGTCAGTCCCCACTAACGAAGTATACGATCTAGATTTCCAACCAATCATCAAGTTAGAGATACCCAAGTGGTTGATTGATTCGTCTAATCATAGACGGAGATAATTTATTTCATTCATCTGTATTTTTGATTCATTTATTACTATTTTATTGAATTAAAACGATTGATGATCTCGGTAATTAACAAATAAGAAAAAAGAATCTATGTATTCGAAAAATTGTCTAATTGTTAGTTGTATTTGAATATTCTCGTTCTTGAACACCACTGCTTTAAATCAGTTGAAATAAGAAAAAAGAATCTATGTATTCGAAAAATTGTCTAATTGTTAGTTGTATTTGAATATTCTCGTTCTTGAACACCACTGCTTTAAATCAGTTGAAATATTTATTAGATCTAAATTATTTAGCTGGGTAACTCAATTTTACATTGATTGCCTTTTTAAACCATTAATATCTTAGATTTTAGTAATTAGTAATATTTTTAACTGATATATTAGCAACATTAGAAGTATATTTTTCGTGAAGAAGTAATTTCATCGCCAGTGTTGAATTGTTTCATGAGTTAGGTTTTTCACTGTGTGTCATAAATGTCCTACAAATCATATGTGTTTAAAACTATTTATATTTATTTATATATACTAGGCAAAAGGTTCGTAAATTTTTTTGTATGTATCGATATTATTACTTTTTGATTTTGTTGTCTTTCGATGGGTAAGGTTACATTGTTGACGAAATGAAGAAAAATTGTTGTTATCTATTTTGTTGGACAAAGTGTTTATATTTAGTTTGCTTCATTTAATTAGTTGATAATTTATTACAAAACATTAATTTAAATTAATGTAATTTATTTCTTTAATTAATTGAATAAATAATTTAAAATTATATAAAGCAATAATGAATAAATGTATGTTTATTCACTTATTATCAAATAACAATCGAAAATAACTGCATTCTTTAACAGACACATCCAATAAGGGTCATTATATACATATCTATATATATTTCTTAGGTGAGTATATGCTTTTCAGTGATGACATAATCACTCAGGTTGGAGCTGTTATAATGAACAATTTAAGTAATGTTCAATTATTTAACACAACTATTGATAAACATTCTATTATAAACAAACAGAGCTGATGACTATATTCAACCTTCTTTATACTTCATTCATATCAGACAAAATTCATGGAAATATGTATTGAGAAAGAAGGCAAAATGAAGTGTTCTTCGGCTTTCAGATTAATTAAAACTAACATTTTTGTAGATCAAAGCGATACAGAAAAACAAATGAAGATAACTTTTTTCCTTTCGTGCAACACCGAATTTGGGTTATATTAACTCCAGATAATGATTACTCTTAGTATTCTAATCAACTCTTGGTGTCATGTGTAAACACATTTATCTAGTTAATGTAATAAATAGGCTGATATAAATTTGTTTAATAGAATAACATTGACTGGAGAATTGGTAAAACCTAATAAAA